CCCCTCCGCCTGCAGCCGAGACGAAGAGAATCGACTTTGCGAAGATGTCGTCTCAGCCAAAGCGGCGCAAAGCACCAGCAGGGTCTGAAGTGCCAGCAGCCCGTGTCGCGTCTCCCGCACCTTCCTCGCCTCCCACACCACGTCCAACAACGCCTCCCTCACCTCCCCGCGTATCATACGCGGAGTATCGCAAGGAGATGAAAGAATGTCTTGCGCAGCGCAGAGATCCCCGTTTGTCGCCTCCTCGTCCGTCCCTCGGATCTCGGGCTGGCTCTCCCAATAGCGCGCCTGAGACTTCGTCCCCTCCTCATCGTAAAGCCTCGCCTCTCGCGCCCGATACTTGGTCCTCCCCAGATCGCAATGTCTCGTCTCCCACACCGGATAAATCGTCCCCTCCCCATCCCGCGTCGCCATCTCGTTGTCTCCGTACCCGCCCAGCACCTGCACCCAGAAAATTCATTGTAGAGGATGACGCCTTCGCCAGTGATGCTTCAGAGGACAATTTCTCCGAGACCGAAAACGCTAAAGTCAAAGCACTCCTGCGTGAGCGCGATACATTCTCGGGAAGTCGGGATCTGCAGCTGCCGGAAGAAGAAGACGCGGACGACGAAGAGGATTTTGAACGGGAGGCGGAGGACGACGAGGAGCTCAATCGATTGAGTGGCAAGCGCCACACGGACGGGGAGGAGCCGGTGATGAAGAAGAACAAGGGGAAGGGGAAGGCGGTTTCCAGCGCACCGAAGGGGGCGACATCGTCCGCCACTACCCGCAAGAAGCAGTCAAAGATGACGGCCGACGCAGGTACCGATGAAGAAGGCGAAGAAAAGGTTGGGGGCGGGTACAAGTCGGGGCCGGTTGACAAGCAGTCGCAAGAAACGTTGTTGCAGTGGAAGGAGGAATACGAGGGGAAGGTTGAAGCGCTGGCCCTCGAAATCAACAAGCCCAGCTTGCTCCTTTGGGAATTCGTCGAGGGCGCTCCAAAAGACGTCCGGAGCATGAGTGCCTGGAACATGTTCGAGCGCTGGCTTTATGCGCCAACGGGGGGTAAGCAGGTTCATGACAAAGATCGTAAGTTATCCTGGACTCTGATGGGAATTGCCACTGATTTTTTATTATTATTCAGTACCTAAAGAAGAACGGGGACGACTCGACCGCGTGAGATACAACACCTTCCTCGACGAATTCAATCTCGGCGCCGAGGAGCGCAAGAAAACCAAGGTCGTCCTGGACAAGCTACCGTGGCTTCTGGAGTGGCACGACAACTTGGCCGAGAAGGTGCGGGAAGGGCAGTCAGAGCAGGGCGTTGGTCGCGATATTGCTGCGCTGACGAAGCAGTGCACAAAAATCGTGAGTCCTGAGCGGTCTTCTTTTACATTACACAGGCTGACTCAGGAACAGTCCGACCGGGCGTGGAAAGAGGCGAACCTGCACGTCATCGGATTCGTGGTTTGTACAGCGGGCGGGAGCAGGTCCTTCGGTGCCAGCCAAGCGTTCAAGCTGTTGAAGGAGCGCCACCGTGCTGAGTCAAAAAAGACCCTGAAGGAATACGAGTCGAAGCTACAGTACGTGTGTTCCGTCATTGACGCTGCTCGCTCTAACGCCACTGCCAGTGTACTAGAGCTCGAGATCACCGGTGCCAGCGCTGCCGCCGTGATGAAATCGAAGAAAGAACGGGAAGCAGAGTGGCCAAGCCTGACCGCGTACGAAAACGCGACAAAAAAACGGGACGCGGGGCGAAAGTTTGTGAAGGATGGTCTTGTGATAGATATTGGTAAGTCTTTGTGATCCTTGCGAGCAGACGAGCCGGCTGACAGTAACGACAGTCGCCATCCAAGTCGATCGTGGCCTGTTGACCGTGGCCGAGGCGGCGACGGCAGCACTGCAGATCAAATGGACGACTTGGGAAGACTACGCATTCGAACACCACGTACGACTAGAAAACTGGGACAACAACATGGCGAGCCGAGGGGCCTTCCCCAAGAGTGGCTTCACGCTCACCAAATTCTCCGAGAAGGATTTGGAGCGCATCCTCCCCGGCATGGAACGAAGGCACGGACTTCCTCCAGTCAAAGACGAGGATGAAGACGAGCGTCAGGAACTGGTAGACTGCGCATTGCGCATCGTGCCTTGGACGGAAGGTACGTCATGGTTACATCCCTAGCTGGAGATGCGCTGAGAAGGATTTCGCAGTGGAGATAGAGCTGCCGCTGATGAAGCAGGGTCGGGTGCCGGTGATCACCACCGTCAACGGAACGTTGCTCAGCTCGGTGCAAGCGTCGGCAAAATTCATGCAGGCAGCGGAGAAGGCACGGACGCAGTCCAAGAAGGCAGCCGGGAAAGCAGCGGCCAAAGTAGGAGAAAGCAGGTCGAGGACAAAGCGTCGCCGGTCACCATCGCGCTCACCTTCGCGCTCACCTTCGCGCTCACCGTCGCGCTCATCTTCGCGCGGGCGAAATCGTTCAGAGTCCCGCGGCCGTACCTCCTCCAAGAAAACTTCCCGCCGGCGTGAAGAGTCGAGCGCCGAGCGTCGTTCTCGCTCCCGGGGCACGTGGCCATTCTGACCGCCCTTCGAAACCGCTCCCACGTCGCAAGTCGCGCTCCGTCTCGCGATCGAGGCGAGCACCCGTAGCAGGACCTTCGCGCAAGACTGCCCGCCTCCCTTTGGTCACCCACCATGGCTCGAAGTCCCCGGAGCGCGCCCCTGTTCCCAAGCGAGTCCGGCGTGACAATGACCCTTCGGTCGATCGACATGAACGACGACGACGATCAATATCTCGGGAGCCTCCGCCTCCTGCGAAGCGGACTCGGCCTGACCCTGCGGCAGCGGACGCCCCGAAAGCAGGAGAAAAGCTGAGCAGGAAGGAGAAGCAAGAACTTTTGGCGCGCGCAGCAGACTACTTGAAGGAGGATGAGGAGGAGAACCGAGCGGCAAAGATCAAGTTCAAGATCGTGGTGGATGGCGAAGACTCGCCGATCTTCTACGGACGGTTGATCAAGTGCCTCGGTGAGCACAACCGCGCCCAAAAGAGGACTTGGTTCTGGGACGCGAACATAAACAGTTGGCACCGACTTTACAAGAATTACTGTGGGGAGTTCGAGGGCGATGACTTAACGAGATACGACAGAATCGTCCGACGCAAGAACTTGTATTAGTTTTGCTATTTTTTGTTCCGTTGTGCTGCCTGTACTTACTATGTATCTCCGCCTGTCTCTATCTACTATGCCCCATTTGTACTTTGACTATCTATACTCATGATATACTGGCTTCGTGCACGCGGCAGACACAGTTGAGGGTTTTTTTTTTTTTTTTTTGGGTGGCATCAACGACCAAGTAAGCCATTCCGAATGCGCTTGAATGCCACTGCTTAACATTTCCCCATTAGAAGTGTGGATCAATCAGTGGGTTGTTATTGTCCTTCGTGAGTGGACAAGCGACAGTATTCCCTGATTAGGCCAGATGTGAACACATTGTAGGATGGAAGAAGCGGGCGGCTCGAAGGCCATTTCCCGGAAAGGCAACCAGATGAGGTCGCATTGTCCTGAGCGCATGGGTCGGCTCTATTTAACTACGACGACATTCCACAGGTTTGCCATCGACCCCCTCCCTCACCCCTGTAAATTTGCTCCCTCGCTTCCTGTGGTTCAATGTCCGCGTCCCCACCCCGTACTTATCCGCTCTGGGCCCTTTTACCACGCGCAGGAGATGTCGCGGTCAAGCCTTTGCCATTTGTCCCAATCCCACGCTCCCGACCTGCCTTCATCGCCCAGCCACGACCTGAGCCGCAAGACATCCTGTGGGACGTCGGATTAATGTCCGACGGCTTCCACACGTTCCTCACCAGCGCAGAACTCGACCTTGCGAATGAGCAAGACCTAATTTGGCAAGAGTTCGCCGACCGCTGCGCTCATTGCGCCCAATACGTCACGCTGTGGGGCTGGGGTGGATACTGCTACAACCCTGAGAGCAGCTGCCTCGACCGGACTAGTTTGCTGTGCAAAGCGTGCGCCGTCTTCGAGAGCTGTGGGCTAGCCGACGCTCCGACCGTGCGTTTGCTGCTTTAAATGTTCGAATTCGAGCGTGACTTATTTTTGTTGTTAGTGTACTTGTCCTGAGGGCGCAGTCGCTTGTGCTAAAACTAACTCTGGTTGCCTTTTGCACACCGGTGAGTATCTTTTTTTCTTTACGCCTAGACTTTGCTCATTTCTTGACAGTGCTGGCTAGGACAAAGGTCCCTCCTGGCGTTCCTCGTCAACTCGTGCCCTACACATACTGTGGAACAAAGGCCGATGACCCACGGCGCCTTTTCAGCCCTCTTGACCTTGCGGTGCTGGCGTGGCGCCGCTCCGTGAACTCCCGTGCCGCTGTGTGCCCGATCAAGAGTTGGCGGGTTCCCGGATCTAATTCGCGTATGTGCCGGGTACTTCTTATGCTGCTCATCCTTTCTGATTGTTTGCTAGGTCATCGTCGCGCGTCCGAGGTGGCATCAGAATTCGCTGCAGAGATCTCCAAGGCTGAACTCCGTGCGCATCGGCGTCGAGTGGAGGACGATGCCGCAAGGGCAGAGGCCGAGGGTCAGTTGATCTGCTAGTCTTTTACTTGGTGTTTTTCTTCAGTTTTGGTATTATTATTGTGTGGAATCTTGATGTCGAAATTATTCTTTGGCTTCTTTCGTTTTTGGGATCTCGACATTCTATGAGCAGAACAACAAGTTCAAAGCATGCCAATGCTACGCGAGTTAATGGTAATATAGCGAGAGTTTGTTGACAGTTTTGTATCCTCGTGTTAGTGGAAATAATTTCCTTTTTGGGACTCGGGCAGTTGTTTGTTTGGTTACCTCGGCATCTCGGCATCCGGCGAAGAAAATGGGATAAGTTCGAAAAGTGGCCTACAAGGCCATGGTAGGTTGGAAATATATTTGTGCGCGCATTTGTTTGTGAGACAAAAATAATGACCGACCACTCAAGTCCTCAGCGGTAAAAAGTCACCGGGAAAGTACCCATGGCCATAGTGGGATTCGAACCCACACACTCACGATATTTGATTACTTATCATGGGCACACGCTATAACCAGTAAGCCATAGAATGAAGGATTAGTAACATTTTAAAAGAAGTGTGTGATAAGAGGAGTAACAAGACCAATTTAAAGATCTCGCAGAAAATAAGGCTAGACCGGGAGTCGAACTGAACATTGACAATTACTACGGCTGGCTTCAAATTAAGTTATCCACCTATAGATTATAATACTAGGAAACTGTGACATGACAAATAAAAATAAAAATGCAAGGAAACCTAGAGACAACGAGGTTAAGTCAATGTTAAAGTCAATTTGGAGGTTTTAATGCACAAGGTAAGATGAAGTAAGTACAAGTAAAACAATTGTATGGGAGTTCCCAAGAGGAATGTCGGCAGGCTACGGGAGCTCCCGGCTGAGACAAACACCTGCCGCGGGAGCACCCGTGAGTGGGAGAAAAATGGCGGGAGCTCCCGGCTGGGTAAACATCTGCAGCGGGAGCACCCAAGAGGGGGAACGAAATGGCGGGAGCTCCTGCCCAGGTTAACATGCTTGGCGGGAGCACCCGCCCAGGTTAACATCCTTGGTGGGAGCACCCGGGCTGTTGAGGCACCAGGGCGGGAGCTCCCAGGCCTTTGGCGGGAGCACCCAGATGGTAATATGACGGGTGCTTCCGCACCTACATCGGGAGCGCCCAGTGAAGACAGTCGGGAGCACCCATGTCAATGGGCGGGAGCATCCGCCACCCAGTCTGGGAGCTCCCGTACCTGCATTGGGAGCATGGGTGGGAGCTTCCGCCACCCACTACAGGAGCTCCATGGGAGCTCCCATACCTCTCTGTACCACTCATGGCGGGGGCTCCCGTCACTGGTGGTGAATAATTCCAGAGCAGTAAAGGAGTTGTTGATGCCTTTGAATGTTGCATGTTGAAGTACTATCAGTAGCCCAGGATGAAATTCAATATTGGATAAAATAAAGTGAATATGGTTATATGGACCTAACCTGTGAGCCTGCGGAAGAGGCAGACTTAATGTGAGGGACTACACCACTCAACAGAGAGAAATGTAAATGTGGCTGATGAATGAAGCTACAGCATTCTACTTGAACTGTCATCACTATGCAGAAGACAAAGCTATCTAATGTCTAAGGCTGAGGCAGAGCCATGAGAGGTCGGCCAATAAGGAAATGTATGCGGTGGCCAACTACCACCTGACAATATATGTCAGCAATGAGGGCTGCCGAGCCCCCCCGATATGCATACATCCATGCCTTTTTTTCAGGGTGTGGTAATAGAAAGGTGAACATAGCATGGCAGTTGAATGTCTACCATGTATGCACTAGGCACTCACTGCTGTCACCGATCCCATAGCAATTGGAGGGATTTCGGCAGTATAGCATACAGACATATAGGGATGGACATGCTACTTGCAGGATATGTAATAGTTCAGACAATCACATCACAGCTGGGGGGGTGTATCTAGAGCCCCAAATAGCTGCTACCGCAGCCCTGAAATCGATTTTTTCCCCCGTGCATAGCACAGGGAATGACAGGAGTATACCCACTAAATAGCTTTGATATCTAGGCCCACCATGGGCCAGCCAGGGGGCATGAAAAGCAGCCCGTGGAGCCCATGGAGGGCAAAATAGCTGCTACGGCAGCCCTGAAATCGATTTTTTCCCCCCCGCACGTAGCGCGGGGAATGGTGGGTATATACCCACTAAATAGCCTTGCTAGCTGGGCCTACCATGGGCTAGCCAGGGGGCACGAAAAGCAGCCCGTGGGGGGTAAAAATCCCAAAAAAATCCCCTGCGGGGCTGGTTCCGGGAGCACCCGCTGGGAGAAACCTGGCAGGAGCACCCAGTCAGACAGCTCTCTGGATGCTCCCATACCACAATGGGTGGATGCTCCCGCCCGCATGGGTGTCCCACTATAGCTGGGACCCCTTTGGGGTAGTCATCTAGGAGGGCACAACCACCTCACTATGGGTCAGATATATGTCTGCCTGAAGTGAGTCTGTAGTCGAATATGCGTCCGAGTTCCGTAGCGTCCGAGTTTCCTAGCTAGTAGTTTCTGTCACGCCGACCAAAAGGGGAAGTCGTCCCATCAGTGGCTGTATAATTGATATGATCTGTTGCCCCCTCCGACTTTTCTTGAGCGGGCAGGTCCCGCCGTGATGCTTGTGTACTTTACTGGGTAAGTCGTATGGCTCCGACTGAAACACTGGAGTTGACCCGGATTGGAGCAAGATCCGTGTATAGCTGGAAACCGCTTCAAGTTATGGCTGCATTCGGATCCGTGACTCGCACACCACCAAGCTGCATCTTCGGTGCCCATGCCGCGTCTCCCGAAGGAAGGCGTCGATGTATCAGTAGGGGACGGCTTTGACTCCACCGTCACCATGGATCAGGGGGTGTACTTTTCCTACAATGGTCAGCGCCAGCAAGAAGAGCTTCTGAATATTGCCCACAAGAAACGGCGCGTCCAACCCTCCGAGCTCATGGATTCGTATGTGCAATGGATACCAGTGCCGGACGAGGGGTATGAGGACATGGAAGACTGCAATCTAGACACAAACCCCTTGGATTTGGTGAATTCTGAGGGCGGCTCTAGGAAGCGTAAGGACTACACCAGCTCGGTGAGTTGTCAGAATCTCATTTCATGCACAAATTCCTGACGAGCAGGATAACCCTATGTCGCTTTGGCGGCCGTTGAAGGGCATGTTTGCGGACGAGCTGTTATGCCACGACGGGCTGGGGGAGGATATGCATGAACCGACATGCGCCCTTTGCAAAAAAGCCAGCGTGAATGGCCCCCATGCCGCGCGCATTTTTAAATGCGCCGACTGCGGGCAGTTCTTGCAATGCATGGAGTGCTGTCTGACACGGCATGCGTTGACGCCTCTCCACATCATAAAAGTATGTCATCCGATTTCTTTTCTGAATGGGACAAGGTCGCTGAGCCCGACTTCGGCAGGAATGGGGCGGGGAATTCTGGAAGGACCTCACGTTGGCGAACCTGGGCCTAGTGTACCAAGTGGGTCATGGGGGCTTTCCCTGCCTTTCACCCGAGGCCAGGACGTACAAGATGACCGTGATTGAGGCACTGACGATCCACCAAATCACAGTCCGCTACTGCCAGTGCCGCAAGTCTGATCACGCCGACCACGTCGAACAGCTCCTGCGCAATGCGTGGTACCCGGCCACCATTACTGACCCCGGGACATGCGCGACGTTCAAGACGTTGGAAGTGTTCAGGCTCTATCAGGTGGTAGGGAATATGAATGTCAATGACTTCATCCATGCGATGGAACGAGGGACGGATGCAACAGCATCCACAGGGATGACGTGGCTCCCGGTACGTGGTCAAGGTTTTCAATTTGGGCCTGCGCGGCTGATATGACTCTGTCATAGGATCGTTACAAGCCATTTCAGCGCATGGCCCACCAGTGGGCTTTCCTCAAGCGCGTGAAACGGGTGGGCAGGGCTCACGATCGCGCTGGCGTGGAGGGCACGAAACTCCGTGAGTGCGCGGTGATTTGTTGGGCATGTCCACAAGACGGCCGCAATTTACCACCCGACTGGCGCGAGGTGGATCCTGAATTTCGGTATGTCTTAGATGTTCACGAGCTTGGGAATGTAATCTAATGACTCCTAGTTTCTTGTATATGCTCCTTCTTGCCGTCAACGCCAACTTCAAACTGAAAAACCGCAAGCGTGCAAACGAGATCGACGATCCCTCCCTGGGTCCGGGCTGGGGTTATTGGGTGGAGCCGCGCCGCTACAGAAAACACCTCAAAAAATATGTCGCCGAGAAAGATGTAAGTCGTTGTTTGGTCCAGTTATTTCAGGCGCTTATTATCAGATGAGTACCTGTATCGCTTTTGCCGCGCTATTGCAAAAGGACACGCGCATGACGACGGGATTGCGTGCATCCGGGGTGGGCAGCTGTGTCTGCACACGCCATGAGTGTGTGAGGCCCAACGGGATTGGTGATTTGCAGAAGGGCGAAAGGTGCGTTCTATTCTGACTCGATGACGCTTGAGGACCCACTGACAGTAAACTAGATATTCTAATATGGATTACATAGTGTTCTCAGCACTCTTCGGCTTCACGCTGATGCTGCTGCTGATCTCGTACGATATAGCCTGTCAATGGAAAAAGCGCATGGAGGAGCGGAACACCAAAATGCCTAGGCGTCTTCGTCTGGATTTCACCAAGTTCACATACCAGTGCGCGCTGCCGGTCTGGCACGTGTCTTCCCACAACGAGGAATGCAAGAACAACAACAGCCTTAGTTTCAAGACGGGCACGGGGAAAAGCGACGGGGAGGGTGTCAAACGCGTATGGGCTGTCCTAAACCCAGCAGCGTTTCACACAAAGGATGCAGGGGTTGGTCAGCGGGTGGATGTCCTGGAGGACAAGATGGATAGCCACAATTACCTCAAGAACATTGGGCAAGGTAAGAGCGAGTGTTACGGTGCGAGCTAGTCACTGATTGAGCAACTGCACAGGGGACGCACTGCAGCATAAACTTATCGTAGCGATTGCGGAGCGGGAACACCAGGTGGATGGATTCAAGGAGGTAAACGCGACAATTGATCAGAACGTGAGGAGGGAGTGGGAAAAGATGATTGAGGAATGGCTGAAGGACCCGGCGACGAAGCCTAATCCATACACTCTGACACGCAAAGGTACGTGTGGAATGCCAGGCGTTTCAGAATGATACTGAAACTCTGTCAGACTGCCTGACCGAGGTGGAGGTTCGCTTGGAGGTCAAGAGGGACGAAGACGCGGCACTGGTCGGCGTGAGGTCGGCTGTGCAGGGGTGCAGCACGACTGCCTTTCTGGTTGCAGGGATACAGATCGAAGATGCCCAGTGAGTACCGCTTCGCGTATAAACACAGACATTGATCTTGGGGACGCAGGTGTCGCATCAGGGCGGAGATCTCCGGGACCACGCTGCTTACCGCCGACCGCGAGGGGCAGCTGCATGACTGGCGGTGCGCCCTCCTCGTGAAGATTGGCAAGTTTTGGCAGCTCCAGGCCCTATACATGCCTGGCGCCGCCCTTGCGA